TTTTTTGTGTGTTTTTGTTTGTTGTTTGTTTGGTGGGTTTTTTTGTTGGTTTTTGTTTGTTTGTTTTTTTCTCTGTTTTTTTTTGCTTCTCAACAAATAGAAAACTCCTAGTTGGGCAGGTCCCAGTTTCCTTACAATGTTCTCTGTTTCGCCATGCTGCTTTTTGAGGTGGCAAAAGTAAGAAAAGAAGAAAAGCAGAACCTTTCCCAGTTAGAAAATAGGTGTGGAAAACACCTAGCTTCACGCTGAAGTTATTCTTGTTTTCCTCAGCTGGCAGTGGCCCAATCTGCCTGTCCTTGTGCCAGACTCTGCTGCAGTTGTGGCACTGAGCTGGCCTTGAGGGGCTGTCACAACGATAGCAGTGTCACACAGCAGTGGTCAAGCTTGGGGATGGACTTATTTTTCGGTCTTCCTTTCCAGGAGTAATGGAGTTCAGACTGCCAGCAAACACCAGGAATCAGCTGTTACCGAAGGTATGGAGAGAGGAGCAGTGACTTACTCCTGCTTGGCCAGCCTGTCGTTTGGGAGCTGTGTTTCACAAGGATTGGCGTGTCCTACCTTGCTGGACAAGCGGCAGGGCTGGGACAGAGGGCTCTGCAGGATTCCTCCTCTCACTGCAGATATGGGATGGTGGGGCTGAGTGTGTGGGAACTTGCAATAGTGGACTCTGCCTGCTCCTTTTCCCCTAGCTCTGTTTTTCCAGCCAGGCTGTCCCTGCAGAATGGGGAGGATGCTGGTGGAGCAGCGTGCTACTGTCCCCCATCACAGAGAGGCAGGCTGGCCCAGAGCCCCTGCAGAGCATGGGGACATCGCAGCTTCAATGTTTCCTCATGATTCTTTCATGTCCCTTTGCCTTCTGGGTCTATAGTAATGAACTGTCTCCCCTCTGTCTCCGTAGGGCAAGTAAAGGAAGAGTCGATGTTGAGCATCAGGGGAGCTTCCAAGTCCCCAGGACTGCCAGAGCTGCCTTCAACGCCTTCTGCAGCAAACGGCGCCCATCCTTTTTCAGGTGGAGGGCGAAAGGCTGTGAGGACTCAGTGGTGTCTTCCCAGGTCTTCCCCGTGCGTGCCGTTGCAGTCTCTGCTGCCTCGCTGTGCTTAACGTGCTTCTACAATAAAGATAACTCATCAGCTTCATGTCACTTTTCTTCACTAAGCCTCATGGGAGGGACACACGAGTCCCCACTCTGGCTTTACACCATGTGCTCCTTAGGCAATAAGCACCCTGAGGTGCACGAGCTGCTGTAAATACCTGGTGAAGATGTTGGACCCAAGGAGGAAGAGCGTGGTCTGGGGTTTTGTGAGGAGGGACCAGGGGTCAGGTTCTCTCTGACTCATTATGGGGTCTTGGGTCAATCACTTCACTGCCCTATCAGCCCTTTTTTCCTGCCTGTAAAAACAAACATTAAAAGATACTTACCTACCTCAGAGGGTTGTTTGAGATTTAATTGGTTTACATTTGGAAAGTTACAAGGAAAAATTGGTTTTAAAGCACCCTATCTCTGGGCTAGCAGTTTAGATGTCACAGTAAATGTCTTTTCCCAGGCTTCTCATCTGAGGCACTGGGAAATCCAGACCACTTTGTTTTGAGCAGTGGTGGGAAGTAGATACATCTTGAGTGGTCATGTCAGATGGTGTGCTGAGCCCTGCCCCACTGGAGCTGGGGGCACATCCAGGAAGAATCTGGAGGTGTGAATTTGGCCAGCAGTATTTCTTGCTGTGAGAGGGCAGAAGCGCTGATGGCACCCTTAAGTCGGCACAGAAAGCTCAGACACTGTGGTAC